TTCTCTTCCAAAATCTTGTTTTAGGGCCAAATTTTAACCTGAAGAATATATGAATGGTGTTCCAGCAGGATTCAATTACACTGCAACTGTCTCATGTCCATGGGTTAGACACTCACCGACCTGAAGGCAGAAGGCTATTTCCAAATCAAGGTTTTTATCCGCTGTGGTACCATCATAAAGAAAAGAATGTATTGAAAGTATCAATGGTACAGGGCGCCCTGAGCAGTTGGACAGGCTGTGCACTGCACAACTTCGAGAGCTCCCAACCCCGTTTGGCTAGACTATCAACGAGAATGATATGATGTGAGAGTTGTGCCATTTTGAATTTTTACAAGTGTGGATGGAGTTTGAAAAGGAACTCAAAGAAGTGACAGGAAGAGTGGAGAATCATAAATGTAATGAAGGGACAGTCCTGGGGATCTAGGTGGAAGGAACTAGAAAAAGAGTTTCATTAGGGACTAAACTGAATGCGCACCAGCACATAGTATGTGGTCAATAAATGAAAGTTACTACTACTATCACTTCTACTAGTATTAATAGTAGCGGGGTGGTCAACCAAATACTAAAATGCTGCCAGGAGTAACCTTCAACCTGTACCCCGGGCTGTCTCTTGCCCTCAACACTTACAGTTCTAGGAACAGGGACCAAGCATTCTTAAATTAATATACTCCATAAGATTAACAAACATGAGGGCTTTTTAAGAGGTAGAAGAATGTATTCTGAGGTCAGAGAAGAAAAGGCGCTGGGTTGTCAGCCTTTGGGGATGTAGAAATTTCTGTTCCTTCTTTATTATCATAGAGGACCCAGGGCTGATAGTCACTTACAAAGCCAGCTATTAAAATCTTCGTGAAGAGGGAGCCCGCTTGGGAAAGCTATGTTTTAAATATTTTTGAAGGTGATGATGCTGGTGGTGGTGGTGGTGGTGGTGGTAACACCTCCCTAACCCCTAATGAGCGTTAAGTCTATTATAAAAACAGCAGAAGATCATAGGGGTGGATTTCTCAGCGAGAGGAGGAAGTGGGGGAGGAGGAGGAAGATTAATAACAGTGATGACAATAAAGAATATGCTTATTAGCTAACAGTTATTATCTCCTCTCTACCAGGCACTGCACTCAGTGCTTCGTGCTCACTATCTCAATGAAGGCTTCCTAGAACGACTCTTTTAGGTAAGTCCTCTTCTTACCCCATTTCACAGATGATTAAATGGAAGGTCAAAGAGGTTAAGTGACTTGCCCAACTTGTCAAGCGACTGACAGAAGCAGTAAGTGGCAAAGTGGATTTTATAAGCCAGGTCAGGTAGAGAACAAAGGTGAGATTCTTACAACTGCCTGATTCAACACGCATGTGTGTGTGTGTGTGTGTGTGTGTGTGTGTGTTTATGTGTGTCTATTTGTTAACAAGAGAATAACAGTTCACCCCAGAACAATAGTTTAACCCACTAAGAGGAGCGAGCCATCAAGTAACAGTCCCAGAAAAATAGACACAGAGAAACATACAGAGGTCTCCTGGTTTGCCTGGTTGAGCATCCCACGATGAGCTGGTACCCAGCTCTGTCTCTGCCCAGACCAATGTCACCCCTTATGGAATCTCCATCCCTTCATCCTCAGAGTAGACACTGATGCCCCACCTTCTTCATAAGCTCAATTTGGCCAATGACCAAAAGATAAACTAGATATTCTTTTGTAAGTTCTCTTCCTAAATATAAAGATAATTCATCATCATCACCAAAAAATGGAAAAGAAACTTTAAACACTCACAGTCCTGCCACCATTTATTACTGCGTTATGCATCCTGGTTTTTTTGTTTCCCCTCTGAGCATGAATGAATGCTGATGGAGTTAATAAAACTGAGACACTGTTGCGTACGCTACTTGCAACCCGTCCTTTCGCTCACATTGTATCTTGAATATCTTTTTCAAATTGTCCTCACACATCTGTTTTTTAATGGCAATGCGGCATTGCACTGTATGGACAAATCTTAATTTATTTAACCCAATCCCATATTGTATAATAAGGCTGTCCCCAGTTTTGTATGAATTAAAAAAAATCATGCTGAATATCCCAGAAAATAAATATTTATGAACACCTCAGATTATTACCTTAGGACCAGTTCCTCAAAGCAGAATTGTCAGTTTGAATGATTAGCCCATTTTTAAGGCATTTGATCTATTTTGCTAAACTCTCCTCCCAAAAGGTTAATCTATCTTCATTCCAGTCTGCAATTTACAAAATTTCCTTTTTTCTCAGTAGCAACAAAATCATTATTTTTAAAATATGCATTTGCCAAGTCAACGAATAAAAATTATATTTAACTTGCATTTTGTGGATCAAAGTCTTTCTTTTCAAGCATTCCTTGAGCATTTACTGTGTTAGGCACTGTATTGGACATTCCCAGAAATATCATCTTGTAAACCTCACAACAGCCCTTTTGAAGCAGGTGCAGTATCTCTTTTTAGTGAACAAGGAAGCTTAGGCTTAGACGAACTTAGGTTCCATGCTGAGCTTTGCGACACATCAGCTGTGTGATGTTGTGGGTGTTCCCAACCTCTCTGAGCTCATGAATAAGAATGATCAGAGTCTCTGATGATTGTCTGCTCTGTAACTTTGAGTCCTACACTTGCACGCTCCGTGTTAGACAAAAAAGCCAGAAGGATGCTCTAATATTCCTCTCCCAAGCACAAAGAAGCCTACTGGCTCACAAATCCAATCTGTCCTCTGCAGCTGTGGGAACAAACTGGAAAAGAGCTTAACACAATTAGTAGGCCCTCAACAAGTAAGGGTCTCTACCACACAGGCTGGGACTTGAACACATGCTTGTTGAATAAATGAGTGAAAGCAGACTCGGTGATTACTACCCATTGGTGAATCTAGATCTCATTCCTCCATCACCATATCTGCCTCAGAACCTTTGCACAAGCTGTTCCCACTGCCTGAAATGCTTTTCCTCCCAACTTTTCACTTGGCTAATTCCTACCCACCATTCAGGGCCCAGCTCAAAAGTTACCTCCTCCAAACCAGGTTAGGACTCCTTGTCTTATTTCCTTATGACACCATGCACACTGCCTCCACCAGTCTCCCTGCCTTTGCAGCCCATTAATTATGCAGACAATTACTAAGAGCTGTTTCCCTCACTAAACCATAAGCTCCAGGAGGACACAACCTCTATCACCTTGTTCACCACTGTGTCCTCAGGACTTAGCACATGTCCTGTCCAGAGCAAGCATCCACTAAAACAGTGCAGAAATAGTCATTTGTACACTTTTGACATCTAAACAATGATAAAACTACATGAATATTTGAATATGACATCCTTAAACCTGCCAATTCAGTGAAAAGATTCTTTACGACCACTGCTTGGAAACCAAAGAGGTTAGCCTGCAGTGTCCCTTTTTTGATTTATGAAACTCGCTGTGGACATGTTTTTAATGATTTTCCAATGAGGCAACTGTTTGAGTGCTGGGGGTGGGGCTGTTAATTCGGTATTCTTGGGGTGTTCTTGAGAAAGAATAAGATTGCCGATCATCTTGTGTAGTTGGTAAGTTAGTCTGGAAGGTAATTTTTCAAAGACAACCTTTTTTTTTTTTTCCGAACCCATGAGAGTAAATATCTTTTTAGAGTACAGTCAGAACTTATTCAGTGAAACTTTACTAATTCGTTCTCCATGAGGAAAGGAAGGCCATTGACCTAGTTTCTCCATTGTACTTGAAAGAAACTGAATTGTCATTTCTTTATAATTAATTCACACTTGTTGGGAGTTCTTTGCCTAGGAAAGATCTGGGGGGACCTGATTAAATGAATAATTTGGCGTCAACAAGCCAGTTTTTCCTGTGGTAAAGAGATGTGATGGTTCTAGATCATTTGAAAGGTACGGGTATTGACATTATAAAAGTAGGGGGGAAAGTATAGCATTAATACTTGCCAATTTGTGCTCTATTCTGCCCTGTATGTGTTATTATAGGACAAACTCACACACACACACATCCTTAATTTGTAGGTTTTGAGTAATTATCCACTGAAGGGCTATAAAGGCGCTTGTGTGGGGACCTCCGAAATACTTGATTCCAGCAAATGACCTCAAAGAAAGAGAAACTTCAAAAAACCAAGTATTAAGTGTCACAGATAAGATAGCCAATATCATTTTTTGATCAGTTGGGATACCTGACAATCTCTTTTCTCCAATGCCAATGCCAATGCCAACGCAAATGCAATTAAAACAAATAACTTCATTACAGAGTTATAAACCACTGGATAAACATACTCAGCTCCATCACACCCAAGCACTGGGTTCCAAATGCCCCTGAGCACCGCCGGAGACAGGAGACGGGGTGAAAAATTCACCTGCACGACAACCTCTCTTCTATTTCCTCCACCTAATTTCCTCTCTATTCAGTCAGTTCAAAGAACAAGGGGGAAAAAAATGGGTGTTCAAGTCCCTTGTACTTTTTTAAGCACATGGTATTTATTGGGCATTAATTGGCACACAAATATATGGAACGAGTACTTAATTCTCCCCTCCCTCCCCCCACGTAGCAACATAAAAAGACAGAATCGCGTCAAGACACTCACATTACAAACATACTCGCACACTCTCACGTACCTGAACATACACAGCCTCACGTATTACCCTGTTCTCTTTATTAGGGTCAGTTTAAAAATTTTTAAAAAAAAAATTTTCTTTTTATCAAGAAAGCAAAGCACATTTGAAAGGGGAGGGGGAAGAAAAACGCAAACTTGGTTTTGAGTATTAATAAAGTTAAAAGCTCTTGGCCAGCTCCCATGCTGGGGTTCATTTCATGTCATTACTTAATTAGAACTCCTATTTATAAATAAATAGTACCAGTAACATATTACATCTGAAGAACCCTGCAATAATGTTTTACTTACACACGTTCTGTTTTTTGTTTTTTTAATACCATTTTCCGCTTCCCATAACCACAGTTTTCGTGTCTGCATTTGGCGCTGGTGCGATCTCATTGGAGAGAAGTCATCTGTGAGTACATCTTGCCTCTTCTTTAGGGATCATGGGGTTTGCTTTGAATCCAGATCGGTCGTCCGCGATGGAGGTTTGGAAGCTGGGGGCTGGCTTGGGTTGTTTTTTGTTTTTTGGTTTTTTTATCAGGACGAATATTTATTTTGGCTTTTTCACAGCGCTTGTCAGCACAGAACTTGCGCCTTGCTTATCACAGTTCTGCCCGCATGTAAACTAGGGCTTTTTAAGTTTTTCAAAGCAAGCTTTCCGGTCGGGAAGCCATAGGCCACGTTTTAGCGGGATGGAAAAGATGTGGAGCTGGGAAGACGGGAGGGCTGAGTGAGATATGACGCCAGATGGAGTCCAGCGTTATCCTGACTCCACTGGTGGGGAGAAGGCAAAACTGGATTCCACAAGGATGGGGAGGGTAGGACAAAATCGGAGAGAATCTTGGACACAGGGAAACTTTGCAGAAATATCATACGGCAGAGGTAGGTAATTCCTTAGTCAAGGGGAAGGTGGTGAATTTAGGTTTGGGGGTGGAGTATTTGAGGGGAACCCCACAAATATTCTGAAACATACTTGCTTCAGACCTCCCCCAAAATAAGGGACTGGGTCCCGTTAAGAAAATTGAAAGAAAAAAATATATTATTATTTATTATATAACAATGTCAACATTAACACCAAGACAGGGAACGAGTCCAACTACGCAGTGGGATAAAACACTCCATGAGGCAAGACTCTGGAGAAAAGAAGGAATCAGGGAGGACATCTGGAGGTGGTGTGAACGTGGCTGATTGATGAGTATGGTGGTCGTGGGGGCTGGATGGGGGAAAGGCTGGGGGGAACTCATTTCCTCTCATTGGTTTTTTAAGTTTGGAGACAAAACAAAGTCACATTTTTTGAATTGTGGTTTCAAGCTACTGATCACATCAGTGTCTGGGGATCGCAAGTGCAGACGTGAACACGGGGTGAAAGACACATCTCGTCCGTGGGGTTATCTCTGCGACTGTCTCTCTCCCTCTCTCCCCCGTCCCTTGAGCCCATGTCGGCGAAGAGGCAGGCCTCGCCTTAGGTGTTCTCGTTCCACTCTGGAACCATGCCGACCCCATGCACGGCGGAGTGGTACTGATGCGGGGAAAGGGTCCTTGGCACGCCGTGAGAGTACAGGAACTCTGAGGCCTGAAGGCTGCCCGGGGACTGGAGGCCAGTCTGAGGCCCACACTGCCTGACCACAGGCTGGTGGGCCACGGAGGTCTGGTGCTGGAACATCCCCTCCCCGAGCTGCGGGGAGCCATGGTTGGCCATGCCCGTCAGCCGGGGGACCAGGGGCCCCGAGGTGAAGTGAGCAGAGAAGTGCTGGTAGGGGAGCCGGTCCATGGGCTGCACGGTGGTGACGGTGCAGCTGCTGTAGGAAGGCATGCTGGGCCAGGTGTTGCAGCTAATGTCCTCCAGGCTGGGCACCGGCTCGCTGGGCGGCGCCGAGCTGGCGTACATGCAGGCCTGCCGCTGGGCTGACTCTGTCCTGTAGGAGGCCCCCAGGCCCTGCTGCGGGGGGTAGCCGGCGCGGTAGAAGGGGTCCTCTTCGCTGGGCGACGTCTCCATGTAGGGCTTCTTGTAGGGGTGCTCTGTTGTGGAACATTCTTCATCTGCTAAGACAGGAGGAGAGACACCAATGAGGCCAGGACCAGGCGTCCCACAGCCAAAGGCAGAGACAGCCATTTGGCCCAAGGCCTGAAGAATTAAATCTGGGAGACAGTGAGCTCCAACCTCCAGTCTGATCAAAGGTCTTACATAGCTGATTAACCGTGGAGCTAGGGCAAGAATCCTAGGAAGCAAAGGATAGAGTTTCTCCTCTTCGGTACCGTGCTAGACGGAAAGGCATGCCAAAAAGATGTGTGCAACGGATGGAAGGAAGGATGGACAAATGGATACGTGGATGGGAACGCGAACGAGTCCCCAGTGCCTTTCCTGTTGGCTTATGTAAACAAGGACCCAGTTAGTATCTGTTGGGTTGGTACCAACCAATGTGTTGCTAATTCCTTGCTGATAAATGGCCTGGGGCGGGGGGCGGGGGGTGCTGTAACAGCTAAGACCCTGGGCGACGGAGTTCTAAGCAAAGAGTTTTACCTTTCTGAGCTCAGTTTCTTCATCTGTAAAATGGAAAGGGTAATACTTGGAGAAAGGGAATTGTTGACAAAGAAATGGGAAAATATAGATTAAGCGCTTGATCCACAGCTTGGTACAAAGAAGTAATAAATAGCAATTATTATTATTATTAATATCATCATCATCATCATCATCATCATCTTTCCTCCTCCCCGGCACATAAATTCCATGAAGGCAGGACATTATCTGAATTACCCATCGCTATGTTCCCAGAAGCCAGGACATACCTAGCGATGAAAATTGTAACAGCATCAACAGTAACAGTAAAAACAAACCCATACAGCGTCCGCTCTGCCTGGCACTGCTCTAAGTGCTTTCCGTAAGGTCACGCGTTTATCTTCACAACCACCCCAGCAGGCGGGCTCTCTTAGCAACTCATTTTACAGATGAGAGAAAGGAGACACACGGAGATTAAGAAACTTGCCCGTGGTCTCACAGGGCTGATAGACAGGATAGGATGAGATAGATAGGATGAGACTCCAGGTAATCGAATGACAAACTCTCTGCTGTTCAGTACCGTGCTAGACAGAAAGACGCGCAAGAAATACTTGTGCAATGGAAGGAAGGATGGATGGACAAGTGGATACATGGAGGGGAGCTTGAGTGAATCCCCAATTCTTTCCCGTAAACAAGCCTATGTAAACAAGGACTCAGTTAGCATCTGTTGAGTTGGTACCAATTCGTATGTCACTGTTTCCCTCCTGAGCCAGTCACCTGCCTTCTGTAAGCACTAATTAATCCCTAGTGTAGAGCAGGGGACATAGTTCCGTGTCTGAAAAAGGGTCTTCCATAGCTACTCTGGGGTCACTGACCCCTCTGGGGACCAACAAAAGTGCTTGGTTCTCTCCTAGGAAAATACACTGAAACATGAAGTTTTGAGAACTGTATGAATATACCAAAGTGATGCCAACAAATTCAGGGGCTCAAAGGCGCCCTAAAATCCAGACCCCAGGTTAAGAAGTTGGGACTAGCAGGGCATCTGCCATCTCTGGGACTCATTTTTATCATGTTTGAATCAGAGTTAGCGATACTTACCTCACTGGGCAGTGAAGAAATAAAACCGAGCATGTAAATTTCCTGATATCCATCACCTAGGGCAGCCCTTGTTGCCAGGGTAACACAGCCTGTGTCACGGCAGACCTCATCTATAATAACACAGCTCCAGGTGTTTCCTTCAGGGGAAGCAGTACATGGGAATTTCTGCCAAGGTGTAAACCTCACACAGATTCATTCCTTGGCTGGAGTTTTACCCGTCCCGCCCCCTCCCCAACTGGAGATTTTCTTTCTTCACTTCCAATCTTTTTCTAGTGAATAACGTTAAGAACTATACCTGTCTTTGGGGAGTGTGAAGAAAAATGAAACACTGGGATGTTCCCAAAACCGTGACCACTGTGATGGCTGACAGTATCAGAGCAAGACACAGGACTGAATAAGGGACAAAATAAGAGCCATCATTTATAAGGCACCTACTAAGTGACCTGACTCTAATCTCACAGTCATTCCCATCTCAGAGAGGCAGAAACTGAAGTCAGAGAAGGGACCTGCTCCAGGTCAGGCAGGTGGGAAGGAGTGGAGGCTGGAATCAAAGCCAGGTCTAATTCACTCCGCCTCCCACCCCTCGCTTCCAGCTCTCTGGATTCCTAAGATCCAACGCCACTCACCCAGTCATCCAACAGACACTGGCTGAGCCCCTCCCAAGTGCCAAGGACTGTGCCAGGCGCTGGCCAGTGGGCAGGTGTGGTCCTGCTGGTGCACATCCCTGGCCCCTCTCCTTAGCATCTGTTGAGTAGCGGGGAGGGAGGGAGGCGGATACTTTGTGAATAGCAGGTGCTCCTTGGATGTAAAGTTCCAAGTCAGCCCATCTTCCCACAGTCAGTCCTACGGCTTCACACCGGCTTATAAAGCAACTCCCCATTCCGGTCAGGTAGCTTGGGTGTGAGTCTCACCAAAGACCTCCACTTGCATCATTGTCTGAGTGACACCCCCATGTGAAAAAAAAATCTCTCCAAATAACACATATCTAGGCTAGCATCGTACCCACCCAACAGCAAGCAGACTTATTTTTAGCTAGACTCTTTCTGGGACACATCTGAGACCCACAGGACGCCCAAATACGGGTCCAAAAAAAAAGGTGAAAAATATAGTCACTCTTCCAGGTGCTCTGTCCACATCATGCCAACCATCCAGATGTTTGAAGACATCCAGATGAGCAGGTGGCCACATTTTTCACCTTTTAACTGGGCGTTATGTTTTGTTTTGGTTTGTTTTTTGTTTTGTTTTGTTTTTGACGTTTTAAAGACATTGCTACACTCGACTTTTTGTTTGTTTGTCTGTCCTCGTCACCTCCTCCCTTGATTCCTTCCCCCCATCCTTCTTTCCACCCACCCCTCCCCCCCGGATCCATAAATCTGAATGTTTCCATTGTTGCTGGAATCATAACCTTTGGGTTTTCCATTTAACCAGGGCGTTCCCCTTTTCAATAATAGAAAGTACAGCTGCAGGGTACCCTTGGCAAGAGAAAAAAAAAAAAAGGCAAACTAACCATTCCCCAGTTTCTGATCCCCTTCCAGATTTGTTACAAGTTAAAAAGGAAGAATAATATGAAAAAGGCCAGAACACATTTTGGAAAATCGTAAAATTACACATTCCAGTCTTTAATACCCGCAAAGATCTGATGCAGAATCCTAAGAAAAACTCAGGGCTGGCTAATTGATGAAAACAGGACCTGGGCATTCTCAAGGGCCCTTGGCCCTCCTCACATTGTAAAGAAAGGGATCCTTCAAAGCAAGGATCCGAATTTCACATCGGTTGTGATAGATGCTTGGGGTGTAATATCTGCTTAATTTGGGGATGGTTTGGTTTCTTTCTTTTTATTGGGAGCCTGACAACTGATCAACAGCAAAGACTTCTGACCCGAGTGAGTCATATTTATCTCAAGGGTCAAGTTCTTGATGAAATGAGTCCAAAGGCTCAGTTTTCTCAGTTTTAGAAAGTTATCAGAGTGTACGTCAAATGTCCCAAACCCAACTGGAGTCTCTTGAATAACAGTAAAGCTCTTCCTGATTCTGACCACCAATCACCACACCACACTGTGAAAAACCCTGGTGCCTTGCATTTTTCTAGATGCTGCAGATTCCAGATAAAGTGGCTTTAAGGATGAATCCAGAACGCAGATCTTCAGGGCACAGAGTTGTCTCTGACTCTCACTGCCTATGTGACCTGGGGCGAACCACTGGACTATTCTGATCTCAGTTCTTGATTGTACTTGGGGATAACACCTTAATTTCGTGTAACAATTAAGATAAGAACAGTGCAGTCTAGTTTCTGTGTTATCTTCCCTGTACACAAAGTAAGTGTTCAAATCTTCTCTGCTCAAGTAACAAGGGTCTACTCTCTCTCCCCTCCTAGAAGATTGGATAGATGGCTCTGTGAAGGTTGCCCAGTACTTAAAGGCATTTGGGTGGGTGGGTGCCAGAGCTGGAAAACTATCAGAGCTGCTTTCAAATCACTGATCTCGTTGAGCCAACATTGTCATCATTCCCAGACGGGGCATCTCCCTTGCTGATGCGTTCATTCTAGCAAAAGACCGTTGTGGAGTTTTTACAGAAAGAGACCCTGGAGGCAGAAGGGTGAGCAGCCACTCCTTGGCTGAGTGGCCTTCAGCAAGTGAGGTGTAGAGCAGTAATTCAGACCTCTGACGCCCCAGACGGTGATCTTTCTGATCGACAACCCCAGCCTTTCAGCTTTCATGAAATCCAGTATGTTCAGAGAACATAAAAAGGTAGTAACCTTGACCCTGATGGATGGATGCATGGATGGATGATGGGTGGATAGATGGATGCCTGTGTGTGTCTTTGTCCCCATTCTGTTAGCTCTTAGCTTAAAGTAAAAAGAACTGGGATGATATCGTGGGAAGATCAAAAGACTCTGGTTCAGATCTCACTTAGCCGCTATCTGAAGCCATTAAATTTATTTACTTGCTTATAATCTGTCTCCCCCAGTGAGGGTACAAGTTCCATGGGAACAGAGACCGTGACCATCTCGCTCTCCCCTTATCTTAAGCATACAGCACAGCGCCCAGGACAAAGTTAAGTGCGCAACCAATATTTATTTGATGAATGCAGCCCAGATCTGCCACTCACCAGCCACATAACCTTGGGAATCTAACCCAAGCTCTTAGCCCTCTATCTGCCCCCTGCAAAGTGGGAATGAGGGCATCTCCCATGGCTCAAAGACTGCAGTGAGCATCCCGAGAAGGAAAGGATGATGGAATTGCTTTGAAAACGGCATAGACTGAGAAATTGCAAACACCTTTGCTATATCCAGTTACCACCCCCTCTCCCGTCTCTGCCTTCCCTGTCAGGATCTAGTGCAGAAAATGACTTTGCTAAAATCTTTATTTGGGTTTCCAGTGGCGGGGAGAGTTGTCAGGGTGGGAGGGAGAAAGACAGACAGACAAGTGCTCTCCCAGGCCCTGGGGTCCTGGGTTTGATTGAGTGGCGTTGATAAAAGACCTTCCCAGCTTTTCTGGCTCTATCCATCGGGAGAGATAGCTTGGAGACAGCTTGGTCCAAACATAAGGGGCCCTCTGGCCTGCCTGGCCCTTTGACATTTCATTGGGGCTGCCTCCTGGGCTCGTTGGAAAGGAGACAGACAATGAAGGGAAGTCAGATAGTGGGGCAGGCAGGGGCTGGGGCGGGGGTTGGGGGGGGAAGCCACCCATGGAGTTATCACTTAACGGGAATCCCAAACTGGAAGGAAACCTCGGCTGATTCCTTATCACTTTACAATGGAGGCTGATGATGAATTGCTTTTTTTTTCGTCTCCAAGGCAGGCAGGCAGGACAGATGGAGTTTGCCTGGAATGTTCTCCATCCCTGGGAGCTCCCTTTCAGGGGTGGAGGGCGGTGAGAAGGGCAGAGGTTTTTGCAAAAGTGAGCGCACAGACCTCACTATGAAACTGAGGAGGAACAGCCCACTAGCTGGGTGACACTGGGCACGGTACTCAATGTCGGGCCTCAGTTTCCACCTCCGTGAAAGCAGGGCAATTCCTCACCTTGTTATCTGCAACCAGGCACAACGCCCCGATTCCACCCACACCTCAGGGTCTTCTCCCCACACCTTGGTCGGAGCCACCATCATCTCACACCTCAGAGCCTGCAAAAGCCTCCCAAAAGGGTCCACACATCCATCTAGTCCTCCTATATCACAGCAAAGTGACTGCTTCAAAGCAAAACCCGAATCACACCACACACGGGTTTAAGCCTCTCCAATGGCTGCTCATCCGAACTCCTCAAAATGGCTTAACACTGGCTGGCGTCTCGCTGGTCCCTGACTTTCTCAACAACCTCATCGCCCAGCATCTTCCCCTGCTCTGTGCTCCAGTCACTCCGGCCTTTTGTTCACGCCCCCAGCAGGGGCGGGACTCCCCATCTTCCAAGGAGCTGTGCACATGCTCTTCTCTACCCCTGGACACCCCCTCAGCTCCTTGCTTCTCCATCCAATTCCCACTCTCCGCGGACCTCAGCTGCAATTCTCCCCGGATGTCCCCTCCTGGTCCGATATCCCACTTTGAACTCTGTCAGCATGCTGCACATCTGCCTTATCCCATCTGATCACCATTTCATCAAACAGTTCTATAATTAGCCCTGTATTGTCCCAGCTGCTTGCAACAGTGTGGGTTTCACCAGGGCGGGGCAGCGGCGGCTGGCTGAGTTCATGGAGCAGGTACTGGGCACTGTCTTCGGTGCTCTGCCTGGATTATCTCATTTCATCTCACAACAACCCTGCAGGGGAGGTGCTATGGTTATCCCCATTTTGCAGAAAAGGCAGTTGAGGCTCAGAAAGCTGAAGCAAGTTCCCCACAATCACACTGCTGGAAAGTGTCAGCCGCCGGGACGCACAGCAACAGACCAGCCGCTGACTCCAGCTTCCCCAGGGGCCAGCTCAGGTTGATCCGGAGTTCACTCGAGCTGCTCACATCACCCAAAGAGGTGCATGAGCCTTGCACTCAAAGCCTCCCCTCTGCATCCCCCACAAGTGCATTTACAAGAATGCTGCTGTGAACATCGAACCTAAAACAGTGCCCTGATTCTTTTTAACTTCTTCCTCCTCTTCTTTTGGTCTGGCATTAATTTAATCGAAAGAGCTCTCTAATTCGAAACTGGTGAGCGCTTAATCAGCCTGTTTGACCCAGTCTCAAGAGCAGATCTCTAGCGGAGGATAAAGTTTGGAGACTGTAGCTCATAAGCAAAGGCATGAACAGGCGGAGACAGAGAGGGTGGTCGTCCAGGGTCCAGGCAGAGTCTGCAGACCCAGCCTAGGTTCAAATTCTGCCTTCAAGAACCATCAGCATGTGATTTTCCCTTTGTGAGCCTCAGTTTCCCCATTTGTAGAGTGGGTTCATAAGAGCACCTACTTAATAATGTTTTAGAAAGGGCTGTGGTCCAGAACCTGGGCAGGCCACCCTTAAATATAATATAAAACAGAATCTTTGTGCAGGGAACCTGTGCTCCCTGGGACATTCTTAACCCCTGCTTGTGCCTGAGGAGGCGGACAAGCTTGCAGGCATCTGGTTTCCAGCCCATCTGGCAGCCGACGTGCTGGGAGTCGGGCCAGGGGGGCCTGCTGGGGTGATATTGCTCAGGCCTTCGCCATCCAAGGAGCTTGGATGGGCTTCAGGTAAGGCTGAAAAGCTCAGTCTCACCCAGGTCAGCTCCCCAGCCCCAGGCTTGGACCAATGACAGCTCTTCCCTCCTCTGAAAGGCGATTTTCGTAAATGTCAAATAGTCAGGCTGTGTTCCTTTCCTCATGTAACCCCAGACCCAGAGAAAGGCACCAAAGCCTCGTTCACCATGGGTTCTGGATAGTGAGCTGATTTTTTATTTTTTTTTTTTAAAGAAGGTCCAGGCACTGAGCACTGGACTTTCAAAGGCATCGTGTTGGCTCCTGGGGCTGTGAGGTCCCCCAGGCCACTCAGAAAGACTAAGATTTGGGTCTGCTGGAGCAGAGTAGTGGCAACTTATCAAGTCACTGTGATAAACACTCGACAAGCAGGACTTCATGACACTCAGCCCAGACCTTCAAGGCAGGTCTGATCATGAGCCCAAGTCTGTAGGTGCTTTTTAGTGAGGGTTCGAGGAGTTTCCTAAGTAACTTGCCCCTAAAGGGAGGATTTATCTCACCTGTCTGACTCTGGAGACGACGGGAGTAAGCACTGGGGTCCGTGGTCCCCTCCCCTCGCATCCATTTTCCCGAGCCCCACCCCCACCCCACCCCAGACGAGCAGTCTTCTCTTGGCTTCGTCCTGGCACTCACTTTCTGGAGGGTTACCTGCTACTTATTCTATCACAGCGGCCACTCCCTGGGTGCTCACCAAGCACCCACTGCTGCAGGGAACTTAGCACCATTTACAAAATGAGAAACTGAGGCACGGAGGGGCGAGGACACCCACCTGAGGTCACCCAGGAAGCTGGTGGCAGGGCTGAGACTCAAATCTGCGTTTCTCTGGCCTCGCAGCCCGCGTCAACCCCTTCAACTCTTGACTCGAAAAACGTGCTAACAGAAATTTCCTTCCTTCACCTCCCCTTTGGACTTGGGTAACTTAGGAAAGTCACCCATTTCTCATCCAGCAAAGAAAATTATGGAGTGTCCTGGACCAGCTTAGTGGACTTAAAGAGGGATGTGCAGGAGGGAAAATCAGATGCGATTTTCTTTTCTCCCTTACCTTCCCCTGCCTTTTTTTTGTGGGGGCTGGGGGGAGGTGTTGATTTGATCTGGAAAAGGAAAGAACCAAGAATCCGCCTGGGAGAAACCCTGCACATGAACTAGAGAGGCACAGCCAGCGACAAGGAGGTTCCCTGTAATGTGGCTTATAATACAGCTGGGACAGTCCCTGACCACTGGCAGAAGTGGCAACAGAAACCCTGCTTCATCTTTTTGGGGAAATAATTTCCTCTTCATCAGCTAGAAGGAAAAAAAATGAGGCCACTCTAGGTTCCTGAAAAGATACCTACAATGTATTCTGAAGTTTAAAAAAAAAATGCAAGTTGCAAAACACACAGTATGATATCAGCTGTTCAAAGTTACAGCAAAATTCATTGTATTTGTATGCACCCATGTGCATAAACAAATAAATGGGTCCAGACATTTCAAATAAGTTTTCCCCAAGGGAGGGGCTAGAACCTGGGGGAGATGTGTCAAAGTAATCTTTAGTTTTACCAGAAAGGTTTGAATCTCTTATAATCTCTACATAATTTTGTATTGGTTACATTTAAAAAAAAAACCACACATGTAGTTATGTGTACTTTTTTTTTTTTTCCAAAGAAAGGCAGCAAGAAGTAAAATGGCAAGTTGAGCAGGGCTGTCAAACTCACCTTTCCTCTTGGTGCAATGGTAAATTTGGCCGTGCTCCTGGGGCAGTGGGTACGGGTTGGGTGGGGGCAGGAGGTCCTGGGAGGGGCCGGACACACCATTCTCACACTGGTACTGGGACCCCAAGTTGGATGAGGTGGAGAGAGCTCGAGGCTCACTGCTGAAAGGACTGTGGTTGGAAGCCACTTTCTGTCTCACTGTGCTCCTGGGAACCACGGGATATTCTTTACTGAAAGAGAGAAGATACGAAATAATATCGATCAGTGGCCTGATATAGGTCCTCCCACTGGCCGAACCACAGGGTCAAAGAATCCAACCAGAAAAATCACAGAATAAGAAACGGAGGGGATCTTTGATGAATGAGGCGATCCAGTTATACTTAAGTGCATCCTATGCCATGGACATAAATATTGAGTCATCATTTTTTCATGCCTTATACATTAGGCAAGTAGGTTTATGAATAGTTCTATAGATGTGCAGAAATATAAATGAGCACCCCCCCAGTTCAGAACACCTCTTAATAACCAATAAGTACATATGGCAGTTGAACTATTTTAGTCTATTCTAGATGTCTTTGAATTTCCTAATTCAAAAGCTGAAGAGCAGAGAAGTCACTTAGACTTAACTTCTGCGTCTCCATCTTTAAAATGGGGCTGAGGTCTTTGCCCAACGTTAGTAATGAATGATGGCTGACCACCTAGGATAGCCACGTAACATCCTAGGCTACCCTAATCTGGAGAGTTTCCTGCTGGTGCCTTAGAATTTCCTTTTGAGCTGCTGGACTTGTCACCACTGACATCATACTTAACTTCTCCCTGCCTTGGTTTTCCCATCTCTGAAAGAGGAATAATAAAAAATTCCCAGTCCCAAGGGTTGTTGAGAGAAGAAATGAGTTAACACACGTAAACAACTTAGAACAGTACTTGGCCCACAGAGAGTGCTCCACAAATAACAGCCATGGACATGACTGTCACAGTTTTGGGGAGACAGAGTGAGAGAGAGAGAAAAGGGAGAAAGACAGAAGAGCAAGGACAAGAGACAGAAAACAGAGCACTGGATCTAAGATCCACAGGGAAGATCCACATTCAGGTCCCATCCCCATCACTCACAGACCTCTGGACCACAATCTTCTGCACCTCAGTTTATGATGCCATACGTACAGCATCCTCCAAAGTGCCCAAAATCTGGTCCCTCACACTCTTAGGATCGGTCCTCCACATTCCTTTACCTTCAGCTTTCAGAACAGGTATTTCTTTTTTTTTTTTCTCATGAGAACTTGGGAAATTCACCAGAAACCTCTCCTGGTAAGGAGGGAAGTGGTGCTGAGCATCACCAACATCCCAGAAGGAAACCAGGTGGGTGGAGGAAGGATCAGAGTGAGAGTTTGCAGAGGAGCTGAGAGGAGAGATGGCTCAAAGATAAAATGGAGAATTGAGAGGAGCATCCAGGTGGATAAGAGAATGCCTGGACCCATAACATTCCCACATCCAAGGGGGATGGGGAGGGGGCGGCCAATGTTTGAGATGAGGAAAGGAAATCTTGAACAGGAGAGTTAACTATTACAGTGCAGGCTGATGGAAGGGTGATCTGCCACATCCTTTCTGGAAGGCAATTTGACAGTATCCTTTTTTAAAATCTACAATAATGTGGTCTCAGCAATCCCATGAACATGAATTTTCCTAAGAAGCTGTTGAGGTGAGTGCCCAAAGCCATATGTATGAGGATTTTCTCTGCAGCATTGTCTACAACAAGGACAACAACTAGAAACGATCTAAACGTTCTCAATAATGGTTGAGTAAACATTGACAGAGCTAAATGGCGGAATATTACGCAACCTTTAAAAAGGAGAAAACTGTATATGTACAAATTCAGAAATCTGTGCAAGATAAAGAGGTAAGACATAACATGATCTAAATTATAAAATGATTACCAGTGGTTCCCTTCAGGAGCTGGGGTTATGGGAAAGCTTTTCGGTCACTCATTACTTTTTGCAAGTGTGCATTGCTTGACTCTTCTCACAGTGAGCATTTATGAAGTTTATATGAATATTTCTACATTGAAAATAATAATTATTATTATAATGGAGCAGGAGGACTAGATTAGGGGAATACACCCACAAGTAAAGGAAGTGCTTACAGCTGCCTGGAGGGACATGTGACCCTCCAGGGTCTCCACTCATCTTCCCCATGTCCCTCACCCACCACACCTCCTTGGGTGACAAAAGACAATGGAAACAGGGTTGAGAGCCACAGGGGAAGCCCCACTTGGCTGGAAAGCAAAATTAAAATGAAGATGAAGATATACTCAAAGGTCCCCACTGCATTTCCCCCCAAGAGGCGACCCTGGGAGTGGAAGGGGCAGGACGGGATTTGAGTCTGATCCTAAGTCATCTGTGGATTCAGAAAAGCTGCTATGTCTGGGGAAACGTCCGTTCTTCACACAGCCCCCAGAAACGAGTCCTCCACCCCCGCCCGACACACACCAAGTCTGTAGCTCACACAGCCCTGTGTCCTTGTCAATTCTGAGAGCTCAGATAAAGCAGGTCAGCTAGCTAGGCCTCAGTTTTCACATCTGCAAAATGGGGAAAATGCAGAGATGGTTTGGAGAAGCCACAGCAGCCTGCCCTGTGTCCCCCAGACAGCTGCCCTTCCCTGATCACCCACTGGACTCTGATTTTCACTTGAATTTCTAAGAATCAGGGAACAGTGGGAAGCATAAAGGTGTTCGATTCAGGGAAGTATGACTTCTATGCCAGACTTACTGTCTACTAGCTGTATGATCTTGGACAAGGCACCTAACCTCTCTGAGCCTGCTATCGCCCACGATCGTTGAAAATATCCAACAACGCACTCCAGTTACAAAATGACTCGTGCTTTCAGCTCATAAAAATCTCTCGGGAGGAAGCAGTTCCATAAGCCCGTCTCCTTCACTTGGAGGTCTTCACTTTGGGGAAACTTGAGGGTGTAAACTTGGATTTTTTTAAATGACATCTTTATTTTCAATAATCTTGAACTGGAATTTAGTATTTCTTTCTTGTCATGGCCGTAGGCAACAAGCCACAGCTGTATTAGCAGCCCTAGCGACTGCCACCCACAGAAACAAAGTAACTTCACATCCTGTGGTCCACGTCTCCAGATACCACGATGCTCACAGCGACTTCAAAATTACAGTCATTCTCCACCTATTACTTAAGACAATCGTAGAGGGTGTATATTACTATATTGCCACTTAGAAAATATTTGGACAACTGCATTTTAATATAATCGGTTTCCTTTGCAATCTGTGCACCTAATTTTATACATTTAATCATATTATTCTGAAAAGGAATTCATAAGTTTCACCAGACTTGCCAGAGAAGCCCATGGACCGAGACAGAGAGAGAACCCCTCCCTAGAGGAAATAGGTATCAGGAAATCCCAAACTGAGCTGTGATTTTTGCCATGAACCACTTATTCTTTGATTTATTCCATTTTCAAAATTAATTCTTTACCCAAATAAGATTGGCCTCCCTCTGAGCAAGAATATTCGTGAAATTAGGAATTCGTGGTGGTAGTTGACAGTTCCTTTGATGCAGTGAAAATCCTTCCCTATTAAAATCAAAGAGCATCTCCTGTACAAAGAGCACTACACCCAGCACATTCTGAAGGATGCTGCATCAACCCTCTTCATCCCATCTGTGACCCTGTGGGGTGAGTACTGCTTTGGTCCCCATTTTACAGATTAGAAAACTGAGACCCCAGGAAGATTAAGTAACTTGCCTAGGGTCACGGAGCTAGGAAGAGACATGACCAGAATTCAAACCCAACAGTCCCCTAATCACTTCTAGACAGTCTGCAAATTACTTCTTTCAGTGTTTAAAATATAATATGTTTTTAGGGGTGAATGGCTTCAGAGCCAAGACTCCTCTTCCACTTTTCCCCGCCTCCAGGGTGTGACCATCTCCACCCAGGTCCCCTGCCTTTGTTTGTCATGTGAAAACACATCAGAGTAACCAGGCAGGGGACAGCAGAGTGTCAGCCAAGTTTCCACGGGGCTACGACACCCAGGGGTCTCCTAGCCTAGCTTTCTTGTGGTCTGTGCCATCTCAGAACCAAAGCTGGAGCCACCTGAGCAGCACCAACGCTCAGAATCTCTCCCTGGGGCCAGGAGGCTGAAAGAAACCAGCTTTGTAGTCCTCGCTTGGAGGCTGAAGCTACGTAACGGAGAAAAAAAAAAAAAGAAGAAGAAGAAGAAGAAAAAGTTATAGTAATAATAAAACATTAAAGTTGTTGAACGTCGCTGGTAATTCTACTTAGGACGTGGACGTGCTTGGTTCAAGTAATGGGCAGTCAGGGATCCAATAAGAAGGGGGAAATCTCTTTTGGTTTTGATATTCTTCATGGGGGTGGTTATTTGCTCTTAATTAAAGAAAATAACTCTTAAAAAATGTTGGCTGAAGGAATTTACAAGAAAATGTATCAATGGACTCCGTGGAATTCTCCCTTCAGGCACTGCCGAATTGCAAGATTACTCTCTCGAAAGGCCAAATGCTGCTTTTGATTATAACACTCACAGAAGTGGGAAACCCTATTATCCCCAAAACCGCTTGCTCCGCACAGTTTCTTTCTCTCCAGGGAGCTTGAAGCATCACCATCCCCACCACCTGAGACGCAACATCCCCAAATCCATCTGACAGGTGTCAGGAGAGAGTCACAGGAGAGGGGAGTGGCTTCTCCATCAGTGTGGGATTAACAAACACAAAGAGAAGAAAATGGTAGCAGCAAACAACACTGGGGTAATGTTCCCCGGGCTCATCGATGGACCCATCAAAGGAACTCAGTGGGTGGCCATCCAGCAAAATTCTCCAAAGTCCCTGTGATGAGAAGATAAACTGTTTTCCTCTCCAGCATCACTGAAGAATCCAGAGTCCCGGAGAATTATAGTGAAAGTTGAAAAACCCTTGTGTGTCTGGGAAGAGGGGCCAGCGACTAAGGGTTTTTTTTCCATCGTCATCACCACCACCATCATTATCATCACCATCTCACCATCCTCACCAGTCTCTCCCTCATCTTCCTCCTCCTCATTCACATTGTCCTGTCCGTGTCTCCTTGTGTTCCAGCCACTGTGCTGGTTGACTTACATGCTTTCCCTCATTTGATCCTGGCAAGAATCCTATTCCATCAGTATGATTAGGTTTACTTGTAGACATGGAGAAAATGAGACTCAGAGAGGTTAAGCAACCTGCCCCAG